TGAAATGTTTCCTAAACTATTACCATTCTGTTATATTTATTATTATTGAATTTATACTTGGTAATTTATTTCATCCTGTGACTGTCTGCGATATCACCTTGGTGGAAGCGGACATTAAATAAAGCTACTCACACACATTTCGTACTGGGTGTGATTGTCTGCGATATCACATCGGTGGAAGCGGACATTACATAGAGCTATGTCACACACGTTCATACCGTGTGTGATTGTCTGCGATATCACATCGGTGGAAGCGGATGTTCAATAAAGCTATTTCACACACATTCATACTGTGTGATTGCGTTTTGCCTACGTAAGGTACTACTGAGAGTAAAAGTTTTGATATCACGAAACCGCCTAATCAAGACATCATTCATATATGTCTGGCCTTCATTAATATAATATATAAATATTGTATTTTGATGTTAATAAATACGCATTTAGCATAATTTGGCCTTCTCTTATTTTTTGCTTGAGGAGAATTGGTTACCTCCTGACTAATACCTAACCCTGTGTCTTGAAGGGGGGCCTCTGCGTTTTGCTTACTTTACCCGATACAATTAACGATATATGGGATGAGTAGATAAAAATAGCACAATCATCAAGGGCAGAGAACTTGGATACGTGTAAATGGATTATCCTTGGGGTAAGTGGTGTGGATCGAAATGAGACCACTGGGGATACCGAGGAAGGAGACGCCCCCCCCCCCCCCAGCAACTCTGAGTAATAGAATAAATAATACATTTACTATGGTGGCTGTTAGCGGCCATTAAAATGAATCTAAATCGTCGCCTTGTGAATTCTATAGTTCTATGAGTGGGTTTATAGTATAGACGTTATACTGTATTAGCCATGTGTAACACTTTTGTAGAAGTTTTTCTCTTGAAATTAATGATGGCATTATATTGTATTAATTAATATCTTTGGCAAGTTATTAGATTTACATGGGGATCACGGTGGCTAAGTGGGTTAGACGCTAGAGGTTCTCCCTTGTCAGTGATGCACGACGGAGGGCCTGACAAGGACAGCTGTCTAGTCGTTCGGATGGGACGAAAAACCGAGGCCCCATGTACACATTGGCGTGCACGTAAAAGATCCCTTGACAGTTGGAATTCGATATAAGAGTAGGCCGTAGTGCCGATGTCCGGGCAAAATTTCCCTCATAGTACACTGTATGGCATATGCCCGTCTTCATTAGCCCAGTTCGGAGCAGAACAGTAGGACGTTAAATCCCATAACATTTCATTTAGATTCACATATATGTAATATGTACTTAAATCAACTTAGTGAATGAATGGCATATTGTTATATAAAAAAGAGTCATAATGTTCTAAACATTCAATTCTAGGTTGATAACATATTTGTGGGAAGTTTCTCCGGTAAATTTCCACTTTCCATATAAGGGTGGGTTTCGACGTCATTTGGCTCAATTAACCAATCTCCCTAATTATTTACATCATATTTGACCAATTAGATAATTGAAAGTCCAAAACCCAAAGCTACAAAACCATCTTACTTGTGAGAATTCGCCAGACAGCAGACAGATTCTGGAAAAAAAAGGTTGTAGCAATTTCTATCAGCAGTCTGGCCCAGCGAGTCTGGCTGGCTAGTGTTTGAGCCTGTCTTCATTAGCCCAGTGTAGGAGCAGAACAGTAGGACGTTAAACCCCATGTCATTTCATTTCATACATAGATTTAGAACAATACGGTCTTCAAGAGATTTATTTATTTATTGATAAATATTGATAATATGACAAAGACTGTTGAATTCTGAAACGAAATAAAATGAAATAAATACAATGTGGTTTAAAGGTAAAAATGAGATGAAATGGAGTTTAAAATCCTACTGTTCTGCACCGATTGTGCTAATGAAGACAGACATACGCCAAGGGGTGTGCTATAAGGGAGATTTTGCCACAACTATAATAGCGAGCACTGACAGCTCTTTATCTATTCTTACTAAATGCCTCTTTATCTAATCTTATCTAGCTGGTTTAACTATTATAGCGAGAACTGTCAGCTCTTTATCTAATCTTACCAAATGCCCCTTTAAAAATACAGGTAATTTTGTTTTTATGATAATACTAGCAGAATGCCCGGCTTCGCTCGGGGGTCATAACCCCGAAACCGGAAGTGGTAGACTAACGCCACCTGGCCTATGTTACTCCCCGGTCCGAGCAACCCCTATACCCCAAATTTCAGACTCGGGGCAGACCTAGTGTAGCCGCCAACCCCGAACAGCCCGGGGGTCATAACCTCGAAACCGGAAGTGGTAGACTAACGCCACCTAGCCTATGTTACTCACCGGTCCGAGCTACCCCTATACCCCAAATTTCAGACTCGGGGCAGACCTGTAGCCGCCAACCCCGAACAGACAGACAAACAGACAGACAGACAAACGATAGTCACAAATATTAGTATAATAATAGATAGATAGATGACATGAGGCCCTTTCTTTCCTTTTCGGACAAAATAAACTTTTTACGATTGGTACACGAATCGTGTACCATAATGCGTAACAAGCGACCCGAGGAACGAGGTTAGACATACATATATTCCACAAGTCATGTCAAACGGTGACCTCCATATTCTTATCTGGAGAGCATGCGCAATAAATACTATCGTTGTAGACTGGAATAACCAGTCGCTAGATATTGCCATTCGATTGAGACTTCGAACATAACTGCTTTGAAATTAGAGTAAAAACGGAAACGATTGAATGTAAATCAGTTTATTTACATTCATATTACAGTATTATATACGTTGCGACACATTTGTGTCAATTAGTATGGAAGGGTATCCCTGCCAATATTAAATGCTCTGCTACAATGTCTTTTCTATTGATTATATGTAAAAAGAACAATGTACAAAGTCATAATACCGGTAATGATAAAGTCAAAATATTAGCGATTTAGCTCCTTTAAGATATTCATGCGTCACTCGATTTTTTGTGCCACTCTAATTTTTTGCGCCTCTACTTACTATGATACATTTTTTTTTATTATTTCGCATAGAATTTTGCCAAAGAAAAAGAAATGTTGAAGAAATTTAGAAAGGAAAATATAGTGGGCCAAATCTGAAGAGTTTTAAGAATGTCAAGACCTGTAAGGTCAGCGAAATTATAGTTTTTCGAAGTGTTTCTGGTGCTTTCTGTTTTAAATATCTTTCTGTTTAGATATATCTTTATTCGTAAACTCCCTGTAAATATCGTTGAATTTTGGTTTGATGATCGTCTTATATTTTTATCACATAGTCATCCGATCGGCCTACAAAGTCAGCGAAATCGTTGAATTATGGTTCGTTCATCTTATATATTCTATCATTGTCATTGGCTTGTGTAAGTCATAAGTCAGTGTTACTGATGCTTTATGTATCTTTCGTAAACTTCACTGAAGTAAATATAATTAATAGTTAAATTTTCTTCAAATTTAGGTGGCACTCGGGACAGTCAGTACTCACGGGCCTTCAGTCCTCACCAAGCCCTTGAGACACAAAAGATTGGAGAGAGAGGGGGGGGGGGGTTACCACTCACTCGACACAAACTACAAACTAGGTCATTTCGGGACTAACATATGGTTCAATTTTATCTCAATAATTTGCTCTCCGTAGGGGTCTTTAGCAGTGGGAGGAAACCGGAGGACCCGGAGAAAACCCACGAGGTTGGACAGGCGACCCTACTCCTTGTCACGTCGTACAACCGGGGAATCGAAACCATGCCAGTTGACTCAATGACAGACCTTATGATACAGCGCGCACGCGCTATCAAAACATTGGAATACTATTCGCACTTTTCTTATGTTTACACGTAAATTAGTCATATTATATTGTGCATAACTTTCTCTCCCGACACCGGGATCCAACCTAGGACCACTCGGTGATGAGAGAGTCGTTGCCTTACTAACCGAGTCACAGCGGGTCCTACTAGAATATGAATTAACCATTACCTTGATAAATATGATAAAAATAATATCTAGTAACAATAGATCATTTGACGTCACCAACAACTATTTATATTTACTGATATCAATAGCATATAGGACAGTGGTGAGCTATATTTACTAAAAATAAATCTTACAAACAACGGATAGAAAATTAATTACTTTTTGTTACAAATCAAAGTCACAACCCATTGAAACTTTCAAAGAATCTTCAATCTGGTTATGTATAAGTGATTTTATTCAGCTAGAAAATATAACTGATTGTATAGTTTATACAATACCAAGTGATATCAATAAATTATTAAGCCATTCGTTAGTCACATGCTTGTATTATGTTTTATTTTTTGAACACATTGATGTTTTGTCTGAAATGAATGACGTATATAAATGTTTATCTCAGTCTTCGTCACCGAATATCATTTATTTTATTATATGAATTGAACAACAATGAAGTTTAATTTTTTAGGCGACTATCCACGTAAGCAATAATTTAAAGCGTATTTAAATGTTAAATCGTGATATACTTTCTAATGACAGGTGAAACTTGTGTTCGGCTGTACTATATACTGAAAAATTCAGAAAAATACCCCCCAAAACACAGCAAAATACCGTAAATTGTTTTCTGATACTAAATACCGAAAAAACAACACTAATTACCGAAAAAGTCCAAGGCCACGCATACAAATTGTTGGAGACTTTAGGTGGGTCATGGGCAGGCTAGGACACACATAAAAACTGTGGGGAACTCATGGGTCAGGCTAGGCCACGCATAAAAATTGTTGGGCACTCGGGGTCACGCATAAAAACGGTGGACATTCTAGTGTAGCGCCATGGGTCGTCTGTCAGACGTGGAGAGCGGACACCGGGCAAATCGGTCGCAACATCCGGCGTGTAACCCATGCATCGTTTCTTACTCCATATTTTGGAACAGCCCATGATCGTCTAGTATTGTCTCTGGCCGCATTTGTTTCTTATTGAAATCTTAGGACTCCACTTTAAATACTGTGTATTTATTCTGCCACTTATTCAGTTTATGGTTACACACAAGAACAACAATACCACATTTCGATTCTACATTTCTATATTAAGCACTGCTACATATAGGTTACATGGTTACACGCATTATAATAAAGTCATTAACTACATGGATACTTGCGAACTAAACTTATTAAAACCTTTAAAAAGTTTTATGGCCGTCATATTGACTTGACTGGTAAATATAACATGTCTCTCTCGGCTATTATTCTATATATATTTAATTGACGCGTATACTATTTCCCTGATAATATCTGTCTACTACATCGTTAACACTGTTCATCACGTGCATTTTGCATACCGATAGTCCATTGGCCAATCACGCTATTTTACCGAGATTTCGCCTAATAGTTTGGATGCAGCTATGGCGGGTGTGGCGTCAGCCAGGGTAAGCTTACTCTTCCGGACACCTGTTACCACTGTTTGTCGTGTATTTTGTACACGGTGAACAGTCCATATACTGATTACACTATTTTGCCTTTTCCGTTTTTTTAGGACTTCGAATTTTGTCTAATGGTTTAGATTGTTCGTACTTGGTTTTATTTTATTATCTCAAACCCCATCCAGTCAGACTCGGCGAGTCTGCTGATAGAGAATTGTTACATCTTCTCCCTGCAAGAACTACATGGCTGTCTAACCTTGACCGCACATTTTATAAATTGTATACTCTCAGATTCACAGTCATTAATTATTCTATTGGCTAATTATGATGTAATTAATCATGTGATTGGTCACTCATGCCAAATATGAAATGGTGTTTTCCGATCACGTGCTTCATGCCTTGTATACCAACAAGGACTCATTATCAAATTTGGTCAACAGACACATTCCATTTCTGACCACGACCTTAAACCAGAGTTGACCGGCCAGCTAAACATTCATATGTTCTAGCGCCGTTTATATAGAAAATTTAGAGGATCGACGTGACACAAGATGAACGTCTACGTCGCGCGACAGAAATGTGTTCGAAACTAGGGGTCTTGCATTGGCTAATCCGTCACACCAACCAGAAGGCGGGTTATATAACAACTCTTCCAGGTCATAGTGTAGTAAAGGCAATAAAACGAAATTTCGAACTATTAAAACGGAACGAAATAGGATCTGTGTTTTAATCAGATTGGGTTTTATGCATATAATGATTTAAATGGTTTCTTTACGCGTTAAAACGGCAACAAGTCGACTGACGGTAATCATGCTATACGTATCGACATATTCGTCACAGACTAATAATGTAACAAACAATGCAAAAGATAATGATAATATAACAAGCAATGAATGCAAAAGATATTATAATAATCCCAAAAGAATAAATTCTATATATTAAAATATTAGTAATGTCAACAACATCAACATCTATTATACCATACTGCCTTCTCTACTCCTCCTATTTGTATCTCTACTAAAACCTATACACATAGGACCATCTCCACAGCCTGTAAATACAGGTAAATATATATTATATTATAATAGTTATATATCTTCTATAATACCTACCTCTATAGACACAGGTAAATATGATAAAAGGGTCATTATGGAAGCTTATATAGAGATCTAGCAGTTCTCGCTATAATGTTTAAAATTGGATAATGTAAATAGAATATTTATGCTGAAACGTACGGTCAAATTACTTTACTCCAATCCGAGAAAACCGAATTTTAAAAACACTGTAGCCTCGGTTGCCATTGTAACCGTTGTTAAGATAATAAACAAAGTCTCGATTATCCATTTTTACGGTTAATCATGAACAGCCGTTGATTCGCAGATCGGATTCAAATCTGTTTAAAATCGTACCCATGAGAGTTGACTGTGATCTTGGCATGTTAATAAATGTCAAATTAATAGTCTGTACAACATTTAATGTCTAGAGAAAGACTTGCAAAGGGTAGAGTTAGCTCTTGCATAATGTATGTTTAAGAAATAAATAAAGACATGGTATCTACTTACAACAAATCTACAGTCATAATTATCACATGATTCTTTTCTTTCATTTTATTTTCATCTGCTTTCTTGACTCCTGTTTTATCTTCCACAACTTTAACCCTTGACTCAAGTTGCTGTATCTTGTCAGCTTGCTTCTGTATTTTGTCAGCGTGGCTCTGTTTATCTGATTGGAGTTGTTGTATTTCATTCTTCATTTTTTCGACATCTTCTTTTGGTGGGCTACTCAGATGATTGTGAATGTTGTAGTTGTTGACTATATGTACATTATTTGAAGCGTTGAAATAGAAATTCGCTGGGCGAACAATCGGCTGAAGGGACTGTAAACATAAAAAAAAATTATTTAGCTTGTACAAGCGCCCAGTCAAGACAGTGGGCATACTCCTCGCAGTGTTTCGTTAGATTAGACCTAATTCCACCCAATGTTCTCAAAAACGCAACCTGACTTCTGAGATGGTAATGTGTTCTCCGTGGTTTTCATGCTGCACGTGCTGTTCACCGGGACCAGCCCTATAAAATCCATCCCATACCTGGTTGAATCATTCACACTACAACGTCATCAGCATGCCACAACTCACGAAAGCTCAGAGGAACCGGGCGCTTGGAAGACTCGACGCTGGCTACACTGCCCCAGCCGTTGTCAATCACTTCCAGGTCAATGTTCGGACCATCTACAGGCTTCAGCAACGTTTTCGGGCCACCAACAACACGGATGATCGCCCCGAACTGGTAGACCAAGGATTACAACAAGGCGACAAGACCGCCATGTTGTGCGACAGAACGTGCAGAATCCATTCACACAGGCATCTGAAACAGCACGTCAGCAGTGGCAGCGCCAAGGGGGGCCCCCATTGGCCCCCCCCCCCACATAAATCTGGTTTGCCCTCTGTTTGCCCCCCCCCCCCCCCTGCACAATAATTTTAGAAAATAAAAAAAGTATTTGTGATACGTTTCGGTAATCAATACCTTCTTCAGTGATTAAATCCCACATCCCCACTCAGTCATAGACTTGCATGTTGTAGAGCCTGAGGGATTTCTTACCAAGCCCATCCTGCTGTAAACAATAACACGTGAATCACATGGAAAGTGCTTTTTACGATCTTCAAAGTTTTTGGGTATAGGTCAACGCTGCGAGAATATGCATTCACTTGATACACTAACTCCGTTCTTTTGAAACCACCCTCTCTATTCGGATAAGCTGGTGATTTGGCGACGAAAAGTATCTGGTCAGCTCTATTTATCTCGACGACTGTCTAAAATGCTGCATTTCCGGCAGTCTATGTCACAAAATATCGTGGCGAAAATATTCATTCACTTTGAGTCACTCACTCCGTCCGTTTGACACTTTCCTGTCTGGTCGGATAAACTAGTAATTTGGCGACAGGCGGTATATGGTAAGCTCTTTTTATCTCGACGATCAATGCCTGAAATACTGCCAGACTGCATTTCCAACAGTCAATTTTTCAAAATTTTCGGGGGCTTCGTTGAGGTTCGCAAGTCCGTTCATTTGACACTTTCCTCTCTGAGGTAGGATAGACTAGTGGTCAGGCGACAGACTGCATCTGATCAGCTCTATTTATCTCTACAATCGGTGCCTGAAAACTGTCAGACAGCATTTCCGACAGTCTATTTTTAATATTTTCTTGGGGAGGTCCCCAATACCCCCACAAGGCCTTGCTACTTTGGCACTCACAAGGGGACTTCGTTGAGGTTCGCAAGTCCGTTCGTTTGACATTTTGTTCTCTGGTCGGATAAACTAGTGATCAGGCGACGGACGGTATCTGGTCAGATCTATTTATCACGACGATCGGTACCTGACTGAATACTGTCAGACAGCATTTCCCGCAGTCTATTTTTCAAACTTTTCTGTGAAAGGTCTCCCATTTGGCGCTCGTGATTGGGCTTTGTCGCGGTTCGCAAGTCCGTTATTTTGACACTTTACCTCAACTATCAGTGCATGGAAAACTGCTAGGCTGCATTTCCGGCAGCCTGTTTTTCAAAATTGTCTGGAGGAGACCTCCCTTCCCCTAGTTGAAGCCCTTGCCTTTGCCCCCTTAACCTTGGACTTTGCCCCAGCTTTGCCCCTCCAACCACCGACGGCTGGCGCCGCCACTGCACGTCAGACAGTGGGGATACACAGAAGATCCCTCAGTACCGATACAGTGCGTCGAGGTCTCACCAGAGAGAACATCCATTGCCGTGGACCGATCCTCACCCCTCGCCATCGACGTGAACGGCGATCTACAGTTTGCCCAATAACACCAAAACTGGTGACATAGGCAATGGACACCTGCTGCTCTGTTCACCGATGAGAGTCGGTATTGCGTATCAACTGCAGATGGCAAGACCAGAATATTGCGTCGACGTTATTCTGACCAGAATATTGCGTCGACGTTATTCTGACCAATGTGTCATGGAACGAGACTCATGGAGAGGTCCAAGCGTAATGTTTTGGGGTGGAATCTGCCTGAACCAGAGAGTGGGTCCTGTGGTGTTCCAAAATCTTGGTCCAGGGAGAGGAGGTGGCATCATAGCAGTGCGCTACATCGATCAAGCTCTCAGACCCCACGTCATACCACCTTTTGCACGTCATTGAAACAACGTTTTCCAGCATGACACCGTTAGAGTTACTCGGGACTTTCTACAGCAGAACGGTGTCAACGTTATGCACTGGCCAGCCCTTAGTCCCGACTTAAACCCGATTGAACATCTTTAGGATGAAATTCAGAGGAGACTTAATAATGTCGTACCGATGAATTGCGCCAGGTTTTTCTGAGAGTGTGGTTCCAGGTGCCAATGGCGTTCATCAATCGTCTGGTCCACTCCATGTACAGAGACTGCGCTGCTATTATTGACCAGATACTGTTGTATAGACTGTGTACAGACTAAACCTTCTGGTAATGTCTTGGAATTGTGATGAATTAATCACTAATGTGTCAACATACTGTTCACAAAAAATTGCTTTGATCCATTTAGTAAGTCGTTTTTTAGAATGATTTGATTAAAGTGCCTCTCTGATTTTGAAATCGTACTGACATTTTTTGTTTTTACTGTTTAGTATATTGTTAGTATATGAACTATTTTATAAAATACTAGCAGGATACCCGGCTTCTCTCGGGGGTCATAACTCCGAAACAGGAAGTGGTAGACTAACGCCACCTAGCCTATGTTACTCCCGGGTCCGAGCTACCCCTATACCCCAAATTTCAGACTCGGGGCAGACCTAGTGTAGTCGCCAACCCCGAACAGACCGGCTTCGCTCGGGGGCCATAACTCCGAAACCGGAAGTGGTAGACTAACGCCACCTGGCCTATGTTACTCCCCGGTCCGAGCTACCCCTATACCCCAAATTTCAGACTCGGGGCAGACCTAGTGTAGCCGCCAACCCCGAACAGACAGACAGATACCAGGCTTCGCTCGGGGTCATAACTCCGAAACCGGAAGTGGTAGACTAACGCCACCTGGCCTATGTTACTCCCCGGTCCGAGTTACCCCTATACCCCAAATTACAGACTCGGGGCAGACCTAGTGTAGCCGCCAACCCCGAACAGACAGACGGACAGACAGACAGACAAACGACAGTCACAAATATATATATAATAATATACTAGCAGGATACCCGGCTTCGCTCGGGGGTCATAACTCCGAAACAGGAAGTGGTAGACTGTGTACAGACTAAACCTTCTGGTAATGTCTTGGAATTGTGATGAATTAATCACTAATGTGTCAACATACTGTTCACAAAAAATTGCTTTGATCCATTTAGTAAGTCGTTTTTTAGAATGATTTGATTAAAGTGCCTCTCTGATTTTGAAATCGTACTGACATTTTTTGTTTTTACTGTTTAGTATATTGTTAGTATATGAACTATTTTATAAAATACTAGCAGGATACCCGGCTTCTCTCGGGGGTCATAACTCCGAAACAGGAAGTGGTAGACTAACGCCACCTAGCCTATGTTACTCCCGGGTCCGAGCTACCCCTATACCCCAAATTTCAGACTCGGGGCAGACCTAGTGTAGTCGCCAACCCCGAACAGACCGGCTTCGCTCGGGGGCCATAACTCCGAAACCGGAAGTGGTAGACTAACGCCACCTGGCCTATGTTACTCCCCGGTCCGAGCTACCCCTATACCCCAAATTTCAGACTCTGGGCAGACCTAGTGTAGCCGCCAACCCCGAACAGACAGACAGATACCAGGCTTCGCTCGGGGTCATAACTCCGAAACCGGAAGTGGTAGACTAACGCCACCTGGCCTATGATACTCCCCGGTCCGAGTTACCCCTATACCCCAAATTACAGACTCGGGGCAGACCTAGTGTAGCCGCCAACCCCGAACAGACCGGCTTCGCTAGGGGATCATAACTCCGAAACCGGAAGTGGTAGACTAACGCCACCTGGCCTATGTTACTCCCCTGTCCGAGCTACCCCTATACCCCAAATTTCAGACCCGGGGCAGACCTAGTGTAGCCGCCAACCCGGAACAGACAGACGGACAGACAGACAGACAAACGACAGTCACAAATATATATATAATAATATACTAGCAGGATACCCGGCTTCGCTCGGGGGTCATAACTCCGAAACAGGAAGTGGTAGACTAACGCCACCTGGCCTATGTTACTCCCCGGTCCGAGCTACCCCTATACCCCAAATTTCAGACTCGGGGCAGACCTAGTGTAGCCGCCAACCCCGAACAGACCGGTTTCGCTCGAGGGTCATAACTCCGAAACCGGAAGTGGTAGACTAACGCCTCCTGGCCTATGTTACTCCCCGGTCCGAGCTACCCCTATACCCCAAATTTCAGACTCGGGGTAGACCTAGTGTAGCCGCCAACCTCGAACAGACCGGCTTCGCTAGGGGGTCATAACTCCGAAACCGGAAGTGGTAGACTAACGCCACCTGGCATATGTTACTCCCCGGTCCGAGCTACCCCTATACCCCAAATTTCAGACTCGGAGCAGACCTAGTGTAGCCGCCAACCCCGAACAGACTGACTTCGCTCGGGGGTCATAACTCCGAAACCGGAAGTGGTAGACTAACGCCACCTGGCCTATGTTACTCCCCGGTCCGAGCTACCCCTATACCCCGAATTTCAGACTCGGGGCAGACCTAGTGTAGCCGCCAACCCCGAACAGACCGGCTTCGCTCGGGGGTCATAACTCCGAAACCGGAAGTGATAGACTAACGCCACCTGGCCTATGTTACTCACCGGTCCGAGCTACCCCTATACCCCAAAATTCAGACTCGGGGCAGACCTAGTGTAGCCGCCAACCCCGAACAGACAGACAACAGACAGACAGACAGACAGACAGACAGACAAACGACAGTCACAAATATATAGATAGAAGATAGATAGATATAGAAGATGAACTATTTTATAAAATATGAACTATTATTTAGATGCAGTAAACTTATTGACCTATACACTTTGTTCTAAACACATACGCACGGTATGGTAATTAAAGACTATCAATTGCACATGTATGGATAATATAGATATGACCTGTATACACTTATACCAGTCAGCGAAATTAAGATAACTTGTAATCTCCAATCTAGTTATGATCTTGTGTGTGTAGAACCAGTTGAACGGTATATAACCATCAGTTTTCTGACAGTCGGACGAAACTTACAAATTTTGATGAAACTTAAAATAAACGTTTATATCCCAAAGATCACGGTTGGTGTCGATCTGGATTATGACCCCTGATTTTTCGAAAAATCACGATTTTAGCTTGTGGACCAATTTAAAAAACTTTCAAATATATCACCGTTACACGCTAATGATGACCCAGTCTGAATTTCGTGGACATCGTACCGACACATCCGACAAAATGACCGCTCCTTGTATACAAATATTGTAAAAATATGTAATACCAAGGTTGTGGAGCCTTTAGAGTTCACAATTTTGATCCGATTTTCATGAAACGTTATATGTTTTTATCGGAACGTAACTTCCTGGATTACGACGCCTGATTGTACGAAAAATCGTGTTTTTAGCTTGTGGACCTTCTAGAAATCACATTTTTTTTATCCGATTTTGATCAAACTTATTTTTATATTAACGATCTTGGTTTATCTTGTCGGACCGTAACAACCTGGATTATGGCCCCTAATTTTAAAAATAATATCGCCTTTTTGGCTTGTTCTCTCTCCATATCTTGCAAGATGGGGGCGTATCTTGCATGGCAACCGCTTTTTTTTTACTTTGGGTACCTTTTTTAGTCTTGGATTGTTTAGTTTTTGATGCACTGGAAAGATTGCCACGCGCTAAATTTATGCACGAGCTAGAAACATCAAGATAATACTCTAGCAAGCACCGTTCACAGTCATTTTGTTCTGTGTAGGGAGCCCCTTAATAAAGTTGGGAGGGGTGGAGGTTTTGCAGGGTTTGCCTAGTGGCCTAACGCCTTAAGACCATAAAGTCTTTCATTGAGTAAAGTTTTGCAGTTTCAATCCCGGACTTGTATTTGACAAGAAGTGGAGTGGCCTGTTTAACCTCGTGAGGTTTCTCCGGGTTTCATCCTGGTTGATCCCGTTGTTAAAGATCTCCACGGCCAAACAAACTGTATAAAGATTTCCATATATTTGTCTGTTTTAACCAGCGAGGGTGATATATCACAGACATATTATGTTAATTCTACTCACCATATCAGACATCTTGATGTTGTTATAGTAACAGATTTAATACACACAACTTTCTTCTACTCTGATCACCAGAAAGGGCGAGACAAACAGAAAGGTATTATTCAACAAAATCCCCGTCTATTTCCGTGTGTCAGTGATCTAAGCGTTGTGGACAGGATTATACTGGTCTTGTGTTTTGTGGTTACAAATTAATAACATGATAGTCTAGTCTACTGTATTACGTCAGCATAATATTAAATAATTGGAATACCCACAATATAAACCGGTTAGACCAGTTTATAACAAAGTATATTTACACCTTACAACTAAACTGAAACCTAACCCATGTTCACTCAATCGGCAAAACCTCGGCAGATTTCGTTACTCTACATCTAGCCCCGGTTGTATGACGGTAAGTGATATGTACCTACGCCTATACAAATTACAATTGCGATGCGGCACCGGTTTACTTATTAGGAAAACTTGCCGCTTTAAAAGAAAGCTATCGAAATTGCGTCGTTAGAAGCGTGTGTAGAAATTTTAGTAAAGGCAATTTGCTGAAAATTTCATTTCAAATTGATCCACCATGAACCGAGAACTAAGCTGTATAACGGTAAGTGATATGTTCCTACGCCTATACAATTGCGATGCGGCACCGATTTACTTATTAGGAAAACTTGCCGCTTTAAAAGGAAGCTATCGAAATTGCGTCGTTCAAAGCGTGTGAAGAATTTTTAGAGCAAAGTTGTCCTTGTTTAATGAAAATTGTATAAACTTGAAAGAAAAACAGCTAGACTTTGAAATATTTGTATGATTAAAGCTACAATTTCATATTTTTAAGTTATATTTTTAAAATTTATTAAAATAAAGCCTTAAAATAGATGGTATCCATAAACCGTCCTACCCTGTTAAGGAATAATACTATTAATCCTATAATTCACTATTGCCAGCTGAGAAATTGGCAAAAATATCATTTTCAACTTCAAATTCCAACGTTTGAAGGTAGCTAATACATGGAGGCAATAGGAAAACAAGGGAGGTAATTGTGTTATTATTTCCTGTGTCAATGAATTTTAAGGGTGGGAAATAATGCCCATGGTCGTATAATAGTGAGTTGATAACCTATTGAGCAAAAGACATAGAAATAATTATGTTTTGACTTTCTTAGAAAATATGAAATTCTCGCTTTAAACATTCTTCAAAGGCGTCGTCATGGGCAACGCCGTTGGTAATCCGGGAACTTGAAAGTAGTTCCAATGGCGGACTTCGTCATACAGCCCAGGCTAGATATAGGGTACTGGAATCTGCTGAGGTTTGCCGAGTGCTGTTCACTGTGTACTGTTAAACAGATATAATGTTTTTGTAAGGACATATTCTGATATTAAAGTAGCTAAGTCTCTAACTCAATATCATCCAAAGTCTTACACGTTGAAAATACAAATAAATTATTTGTCAATTCAAATCAACATTGATGTTGTGATCTTACCAGGAAAAAGTAGATTTCTGATAACCAATATTTAAAACAAAATAAACATCTTACCATTGGTACACGAATGGTACACGGTGCGTTTCAACGTCATTTGTAACAAGTGACCAGAAAGAACGAGGATAGACATATTCCACAACTCCTGTCAAACGGTGACGCAATATCTTATCTGGAGAGCAAGCACAATAGACTGGAATAACCAGACGCTAGAAATTGCTATTCGGATGAGACTTGTAACGTATTTTGCTGGACATAACTGATTTGAAATTAGAGTCAAAACGGAAACAACTGAATATAAATCAGTTTATATACAATCAGATTACATTATTATATGCGTTGCGACCCATTTGGGTCAATTTCTAGGTCTCAAATATTAGCGATTTAACTCCTCTAAATATATTTTCCCACAAAAGTATTTATCGGGTGATTATTTCCAATAAAAGTATTGCAATTTGGTATATATGGAAAGTAAAAACATCCAATCTTACTGGGGATCACGTGGCTAAGTGGGTAAGACGCTAGCTCGCTAGCCTGGAGGTCGGGTGTTCGATCCCTGCATTGGCCGAGAAAGTTCATCCAGATTTTCCGGCGTGGTTCTCCCTTGTCAGTGATGCAGGACGGAGGGGCTAACAAGGAAAGCTGTCTAGTCGTTCGGATGGGACGAAAAACCGAGGTCCCGTGTACACATTGGCGTGCACGTAAAAGATCCCTTGGCAGTTGGAATTCGATATAAGAGTAGGCCGTAGTGCCGCTGTCCGGGCAAAATTTCCCTCATAGCACACTGTATGGCGTATGCCCGTCTTCATTAGCCCAGGTTAGGAGCAGAACAGTAGGACGTTAAACCCCATTTCATTTCATTTCTTTTCCAATCTTACTAGAAAATTCCTGGATTCTCTGGAAAAACACCCATGGGGCGCATACAAGACATAATTTTAATGGTTTCCTTAACCGGCAACCCGACGGTTAGGGATGTCTGCACGCGAAAATTGTCCGATCTCTTTCAGCATGTATAGCGCTTGATGTATATCACAGAGTAAAAATATACCGAGTGGCGACTGCTTCATTTGCATAAAAAGTAGGTCGCGCACTGCATCTTGGGATTTGTCTGTAATGTCACTAAACATCACTCTGTGTGTATATGTTGATAAACGGAAACCTTGACACTGAACGAACCTTGAACTTTGCAACTTGATTATCAAAGGTAGCTGGAAAGTGCGAGACTTCATATTCGCGATGATCGAGGAATCTGATAAGCTCTCAGACTGGGTGAATACCCAATCGAAATTAGTGCCGAAATATGCAGGGTATTTCGTGAAGGTCTTGATAAGATGTACGGAGTTAAAGCGAGACCTAGTTACTTTAGTAACGAAAATATGAGAGCCCTACCTGCTCTCTTCAAGGTAGGGCTCTCATATTTTCGTTACTAAAGTAACTAAGCGAGACCAAGCCTTCTATTGAAGATGGATGTCAATGGGACGTGTGTGCCATAAAACTACACACTTTGGTTCTTGATTTGGTTTGCTCATAGTCAGTTGTAGTTGATGGGTTGATATTTATATGCTTCAAATGTTATATAAATTATTAAATAGACATTTACTCTTTTCTTAATAGATGTAAGGGTCCTGGTGTTCTTTCAGCCGGGGGGGGGGGCAGGTTTATTTCCGACCTTGAATATATCAGTTAGGTTTCCACGTTAAGGTCCCCTTAACATTATTCAAGGGCTATATCAGCCCCCTATTGCAGATTTCTATTTTTGTTTCACTTTCAAATGTTATATAAATTATTATTTAGACATGTATTCACACGACAAGCCTATAATCAACTCTCTAGATTGTCGGGTGGCGGAGATATAAATCGATTGAAATGCGATCTCCATTTAACGATTTAATTCAAACATCGAGAAGCTAGACGGAGTTTCGATTGACAAGTAACGTTGCCACGGTAATAAACAATATATGCCACATCTTGTCAAAGAATAAAGTAATTTGAATAAAGTTTTCAATAAAAGCCTATTAGTTTTCATTCATCCGGAATTATTATAGCAAGGGCCGACAGCTCTTTATCTAAATCGTACATGGGCCTAATGCATCTTTAACCGCTGATGTTAATAACTTACATCAATCTGATTAAAATACAGATCTATATTTCCTTTCGTTTTTTATACTTTCTGTAGCCTCCACTTCATGAAGATCGGGTGTTGACCCTATGATGTCAGACATTCATTAACCAATCAGCATTGTTGATGTTTCTAGTATGTTACCCAGAATTCCCTGTACCGCACGCCAAGAACTCGCCGTAACGGACCGTTTTATTGGCTAATCCCTCATATCGACCAGAACGCGGGTTATATATCAACCCCTCCAGATACTAGTATAGTACAGACAAGTAAAACGAAATTTTGAACCATAAAAAACGAAACGAAATAGGATCTGTGTTTTAATCAGATTGTAACTTACTGCTAATAGTTTAGATCTCGATTATTCAATCAAAAGTAAAATCATCGATTTCTTGGAATTCCAAGTCATCAATATGTTTGTTTATATCATCTGTGACAGTGTAAAATCATCGATTTCTTGGAATTCTATGTCATCAATGTGTTTGTTTATATCATCTGTGAAAGTTGTCCCGAAAGACCTAGTTTGTGTCGAGTGGACGGTAAACCCCCATCTCTCTCTCTCTTTCTCTCTTTCGAGCGGGTATGAATGACAGGGGATATTATATGATATAAGCTCGTTGAGCCGATGCGATGCCCTGAAAACTAAAATAAAAAATAATACTTTTAAACTACTTAAATTATTAGACTGTTTGGGGTTTTAATATATTTTTAGTGTTTTAAAATGGTAATTATTATTTCATATCATACACGACTGATAATCATTGAACTTGATCACATACTGTAAGCCGAATACGTTGTTCACAAACTTCATTAAGAGAGAGAGAAACAGAGAGAGAGAGAGAGGGGGGGGGGGGGGGTTAACGTCCACTCGACGCAGGCTAGGTCATTTCGGGACTAACATATGGTACAATTTTATTTCAATAATTCGCTTGCGCGTAGAGGTCTTTTGCAGTGGGAGGAAACCGGAGGACCCGGAGAAAAACCACGAGGTTGGACAGGCGACCATACTCCTTGTTACGTACAACCGGGGAATCGAAACCCCGCCAGTTGACTCAATGACAGGCCGTATGATACAGCGCGCACTTGCTAACCATTCGGCCATCCAACCCCGCAAACTTCATTAAAGTCCCATTGGGTCATTTTATCTATATGGAGTCACGTGTAAACTTCAATATTGTGAAATATGAATCTATAATTGGAATATCAGTCCAAAAATGATTCAATCCTGTGACATATCGTCAAAGATATGTCATTGTTCTATGCTGTTCGCTAACTAATTAGCCAACCGCGAAAATATATTGACAAATGCTTTTAAAAAAAGAAAATCCGATTTTATCCACGCCGATGGGTTATCTAGCGTTAGTGGAAATAATGGTTGGTTTCAACGCAAGACAACAGTTTCACTCAGCTGCGACATTTTAATAAATTAGAATTCTATGATTAACAATAGACAGCATATTTAATGAAGCTTGTTATACCCGTAATTGAATTAACAATCAAGCGGGTTTTAAGTCCAACCATGTATAATATTCGATGGTTTGTTTCTTTAGTAAATTCTTCAATGCAGTCTTTTGTTAGAGACTCTAAGAATAAGTAG